ATCTGACCCAAACTAGATGCATAAATTTGCACGCTTTATCCCCCCCCAGCCCATATTCTGCTGCATAACTTCCTCCCACCACCTTACTCGGTGTTAAAGCTGTCAAACAGAGCCCAAATCTTTGTGCGTTTTGCATGAAAATGAGGAGAAACGAGCTGATTGGAGGCCAGAGCTTCACCGATGGCGTCACATTTATTTATTTTTTACACGAGGAGACGGGCAGAATGCTCAGGTGGACGTCATGGGAGAAAAAGACCCGGATCCTCTTTACCAGGCCAGGCCCCAAAGGGGGGGGGGAGGAAGGAAACCCCAGGCAAAGGAAGACCCGAGGAGGATTGAGAAGTTCGAAAAACGAGGTGAAGCCGAGCAGAAGAGAAGGTCAAGGAGAAGGAGAGCGCTGGAGGGAATGATGAAATGCAAAGAAGAAGAAAAGGGGAAGCATCAAATAATGGGGAAGGGTAAAGAACAAACCGGGCTATTAGAGAAGGAGGCAGAGGGATAAGAAAAGGAAGAGGAACGACGGGGCCTGAGATAAATGAGGTCAGACAGAGAGGAAGAGACCGAGCACGTGCCCAGAAGAAACGGAGGGAGCGACCTAATGAAAGCAAGACAAATCTGGAGGAAATGGGAGACAGGAGGCGTGGGCTTTGAAGAGCAAATCCCTCTAAACGTCCGAGGCAACCGTGTCCTAAACTTTAAAGGGTTTGACGTCTGTTCCCGTCCTCATGCCGACACTCAGCGGGTTTTACTGCCAGTTTCTGCACAAACGAGCAGAAAACGGATCGTTTGTTTTGGACCAGCGTCGTTAATAATTCAGGGTCCTACCGTTTGACTCTCTCGGGATTTTTATTTTTATTTCGTTCCTGCTCAAAAATGAGTTTTTTACTGTCAAGACACGATAAAGTTGAAGGACACAAACGCAGAAAAAACAAACAGAGTCCGGTAATCGGCAAAAGCCAGATTTAGAGAGCCGATCTGAAGCATTAGCTATTAGCATTAGCTATTAGTAGCATTAGCTACCAGCGTTTTCACTATGAAGCAGATTTCTTTTTTGTTTGCAACAGGATGGATGTTCTCAGTCTAATCGTTGGCCCCAAATGAGGTTATTTTTAGCAGCATCACAGTGTTTGGTACCGACTGATGTCCAAAGAGGACGAGCAGATGTCATCAGAGTCCAGAGCTCAGCCTGGTGGACGCTGTGGTCCATCAGAGTCCAGAGCTCAGCCTGGTAGATGCTGTGGTCCATCAGAGTCCAGAGCTCAGCCTGGTCAGAGAGCATTGGGGGACAAAACTCCCCCAAACCAGCAGAATCCTGAACTACATGAGCTGCTGG